TGACAGCCCTAATTTGAACATTACAATAATGCATATGTCATGTTTTAATGCCATTCTATACAAAATATGAATTGGCAGACAGTTCATGTCCAGAAGACCATTATCCAGTTAATCCAACATCAATATGAAAACACAAACACACGGCAGTGATGGGGGAGTCACAATTTCATCATGACTATATTGATGATCAGAGCATCAGAAAACAACATTTAATAAACAGACAATGTTATCAAATTCACAGAAATGAATTGGTGTATGCTTTAAATTCACAAATTATCCCATGGCCAAGCATCTTACGTGAGTTTTGCAGAAATCAAGGGTTTTAAGGCTAAACACTGCAGGCAATAATGTTTTTTATGCACATAAATTGAGATTATTATTTTTTTATAATTTTTCTTATGTACAGGGTTGGGTTATGTACAGTTTTATGAGCTTTGGCTTAAAATATATACTTAAAATGACTACTTTTAAAAACTGCTGGTTCAAAATTAGATGAAAAAAATGCTCAATGTAAAGTTTGTAAAACAACTATTGAGCAATCAGATAGGAAAGGAGCACTTTACAGCCACACAAACTGTAAAGTACCAAATTGTCCGTTGTAAATTGTCCAGTGTTGCTCTTGCAGTGGCTTTTAAATTCATGCAAAATGATATTCAAGCCTAAATAATTTTAATATTATGCAAAGCACAACAGTGGCCTGTTTCCATTCATTATACAGGTCATGGAAATTCTGCTTTTTTTAGTTAGGGATTTTTTATATTTGGCTTAAAGTGGGAGCCCTGAATTTCAAATACATTTAATAATAATAATAATAATAATAATAATAATAATAATAATAATAATTCCTTACATTTATATAGCACTTTTCTGTGTTTCTTCAAGTGTTTCTTGTGTCTGTATATTTCAAATAGAATACATATTTATGAATGTTATTTTCTCCAAATAGTTTTGCTGTTTATTTCTGGAATCATGAAGTTAATTGAAAATTTCCAAAATACCCTTTGTTGACACTTAATAATAAACATTTAAAATAAATAAATAAATGAAATAAGAATTTTAAGCCTGTCTTCATAGTTTGTTCAGATTTCAGTGCTAGAAATGTATAGAAATTAGCATGTATATAATGAAGAAGTTTAATTTGATTATTTACACAATATATTATTTATAAGTGTGAAATTCTTAATGTACTTAATCAGCTATGAGGTTAACCGTTAGTTGGTTTTTTCATCTGCAGTGTCTTGCCTTAAATCTTGGAGCGAGAGAAGGAATGGCCTGAATCTTTTATTCTGTCTCCGTTGTTGACTTTCCATTGACTTTTGCTCTAGATTTAGCCCCCCTGTGACGCAGTCTTGGGTTACAGTGACCGTATAAGAACAGGCGGATCCACACAACACCTGTCAGCAGAACCCCTGAGTCACACAGCATGTATGGAAATGTGCCTCGTCCCGCTGCCCTGTGTTATTAAGCAGGACATGACATGACTTTGCCTTTCAAGCAGAAGGAGAAACGTGTTGAATGCAGGGAATGAGAAAGGCTTTGTTAAAAGCACTGAAAGCTAGTAATTGTATCGTATTCACTAGTTGTAATTCTGTGGAGAAGGGGAAAAAAGCTTGAGTTTTAAACCTTGCAGTACTTTGAGTTGTCTAACTAACCACTACCTGGGTGAATTAACCATATTTATTATGTATTTTGTTATTTCAAAAGACAATAGTCCGCATATGACCCCTATGAAATCAGAAGTGATATTAAACATCATGTTTATTCAATTTAGAGCTTTTGCTTTGCTTTTTAAAAATGCTGTTTATATACTATATAAATGGGCAATATATTGATTGTCTATATAATTAGGATGACATGCAATTAAACAGGGTTGAAAATCTTTGCAATAACCTATATTTATTTATGGTGGTGGTATAAAATATTCAGTATAGCAGTAGATAAAAATACTTGAAATCATCAGTTGTTGCTTGACACAAAGGACACTGTTTCGTGAACCTATTATGTCTAATGACTGGCTACAGTTAAATCAATAGTTCAACCAATTGCATCAAAACTTAATGCAAAAATATATAAAGGCATCATGAATTTAATCCAGATGGAATCAAATGAATCTCTTGAATCCAAGTGGCCTGACAAAAAAATGTGGTCATATTACGCGATGAGCAGATTTAATTTATCTTGATCGTTTTATTTCATAAATAACCTGAAAGTATTAGTTCACTCAAAAAATGTCAATTCTGTTTTTAATTACTCGCCCTCATGTTGTGTCAATCCCCCGAGACTTTCTTTCATCTTCGTAACACAAATTAAAGCATTTTAGATGAAATCCAAGAGCTCTCTCATCCTCCTCAGATGTCCAAAAAAGAAACCAAAAGCATTGTCAAAGCATTCAGTGTGTTTCAATGTGACTTCAGCGGTTCAACTGTAATCATATGAAGCTCCAAGAACACTTGTAAAAACAACTGTAAAAACCACTTGGTTTGCCTACATTTTCCCTGTCAGATTAGGGTGAGTTTATTATGGGCAATATGACGCCTCCTTGTTGAGCTGCTGACTCTAATTCTCCACTGAGTGGTACGGTACAGTACAGTTCAGTTTGGTACGCTTTTATGGCTGTTTCCACTGTCAAAAAGCGTACCGAACCAAACCGCACCATACCACTTTTTCGGTCAAGTGTCTCCGTCATCTGATCCATTCAGAAAGAAAAGGACAAGCGCAAGAGTGAAGCGCGGAAAAATACACAGGAGCAAAATTGTTTTAGCAATCTGAATCATGAACAAACTGCCATGTTTATCTTTACCTTTTGGACTATTATGAACTGGAAATGTAAAAATGACTCTCTTAACAGAGCTTACATGTGCTGCTGAAGATTACAGACTCAGATCAGATGAGAGGTTTGTGCTGACTGTGGGCTTTAATCAATAAGTACTCAAATAAGTACTAAATGTATGATGTGTGTAGTTTTTCAGTAATTAATAATATATCAGAGACTTTAAGGGGCTGTATGCGTTCATATATGTTGCATTTATATATTTATTTTATATAATTACAGACGTTACAGTAGGCTATTTTGCACTGTCATTGATCTGCAGTTATAATCAAATCATGTTCATAGAAAAGTTAGTAGTAAACATTTATACAGAATTATTTGTGTTTAAAGCATCTGTTTTGTGAGAAGTGCTTCTCATATGATAACTTAACGACTCGTACAGCTTTACTGTAGACAATTTCTTGAGGAGCATGACGTTGACTTAAACTTTGTCATACACCATGCCCACCAAAAGGGTACCCTTTGTGGTGGAAACGCAAGCCTGATAAAGGTACGGACCCGAACCGTACCGTACCATGCCATGCCACTCAGTGGAAACAAGCCATAATGGCTGTACGTCCTACTGCCTGTAGTAAATGCACAACCTGACCTGTCAAAGAAGACAAGACAAAGGTGAACAAAGGCACTTTCTATAAGTTTATTGCCTTTTATAAAAGTGTTCTTGGAGCTTCAAATGCTTACAGTTGGATGATTGAGTTCACATAGGTTTTGACAATGTTTTTGGTTCCTTTTCTGATTTGTAACATATGATAGTGATGAAGAAGCCTTTATTTGTCATAACACTACATGTTACATGCAGTGACATTGGACTCCACGAACCATAAACAAACATTAAACATTTCAGAGCAAGATAGGTCTGTCATGAGGTACCTTTTTATAGAAAGAGGAAGTAAGCTGCATTAGGGAAAAATAATTTGTCTGGAGGATCAGAGAGGTCTCACGATAATTCTAAAATATCTTCATTTTCTAAAACCATATAAAGTGGTCGTTCTACTTCAGAAAAACTACTTTTTTGTTCTTCAATTGAGGGCAAAAAAAGTTTGAACTGAGCAATGCTGAGTAACGGTATATTCTATTCAAACAGAAAAAAGTGGGACCAAGATGGAAAAGAACATACTGATTCTGCTCAATTAATCAAATATGGACCAGAGAATTTTACAGAACTGTAAAAATAATTATTACCAAAACAAAAACATTCTGAACATGTACATTAATAAAAACATTTTTAGAATGGTTTGAGTCTATTATTATAAATAAGAAGGCTGCTGAAATTCTAATATAATTACAAAAAATAAATAAATAGTGCGTGCTGCAGTAATTGGAGGCATCAAATGGCATCGCCACTTTGTGCAAACTCTAAGAAAAGATGCAACAATGTGGGCTTCCTTTCTGCTGTGTAACCCCTTTAAAATCTCTCTGCGACTGGTCACACAGGTGCGGATATATCCTTACCAACTATGCCACCCCTCTACAGTGTATTCATGTGGCTAGTGGTATTGTTTTAGATGTTGTTCTCCTGTCTGACCCCCTGGGAATGAGAAATAAATCACACGTCAAAAAAAAAAAAAAAAAAAAGTTCCCAAACAAACCTGCATATTTCGAAATCGCCACAGACCAATGGCAGCTTTGGTGTGCTGTTTCAAACAGCCAAAACAAATTCAAAATATACTTAGTTTAAAATTACTTCATTTCAGTTTGTTCCACGGTTTGGTTTGAAGTATACCGGAGCCCTTAATGTATCATCATGAGCCACTGGTATTAAATTTGTTTTGCCTTTTATACATTTATTTTTGCAAACAAAAGCCACCTACTTCTTTAATGCCCTGAGGGTAAGAGAATTAATGGCTAATTTTTCATTTGGGGTGAACTATCCCTTTAATAAAAGCTGATTTTTTTCAGTGCCACATAGCCACATCTGAGGCATACTATCTGTTTACTGTAAAAACAGTTGTTTGAACACTTTAATATGCACCAGTGTATTTTCTTGCTTTAGAATAAGATCAAAGCCATGCTTGTGATTTCATGGGGTCTTTAAAGAAATGATTATTGCAAGAATAACAAAATACATTCTGGCAAATATTATACCCCTAGCTCCCCCCTGAGTAATCAAATCCAGTTTGTACTGTTTACTGTAGCTAACTCTGTGATTTGGCCTGTGCTGTGGCTGCAGGTGGGCTCGGTGGTGGCGGTGGGCTGGATCCGCTCCAGGAAGGCCGTGGACTGGCGTCTCTTCAGAAACATCTTCCTGGCCTGGTTCGTCACCGTTCCTGTAGCAGGCCTGTTCAGCGCCGCTGTCATGGCCTTGTTCGTCTATGGCATCCTGCCTTACGTTTGAGAAGGAGAATTTGGGATATGAGAGAGAGGTATAGGAAGGTAATGGCGAAAAGATAAAACAGAGACGGAAAAAAAAAATATATACGTCAATATAAAAGCCAGAAAGTGAAGAGAGAGAGAGTTTTTAAATGCTGCCTGGAAAAAGCATCCAGAATCCTTTGACTTAAATATCCTTAATCTTTGTCAAGAGTATTTATTTCCATTTCATTTTTACTATCGTTTCTGTTGAAATGTTACCATAAAGCGTAAGATATTTGACTCAGTGATATCAAAAGGTACAAAAACACACTAAACAGTATCTGTGGGTCCTACAGCTTCAAGGGAGTAAACAGAGCTGCACATACAAATACAGTGCGTTTATAACTTACAATTGCCAATCACTGGCGCAATTCCCAGTATATCAGTGCAAAATCCAGTCCCCTAGGCCTCTAAATGCTTGTGGAGTGTTATAAACCTAAACATATCGCTAATTCCGTTTGCTGAAAAGTCAAACTTCTGTCGAAATGACACTGAAAGCGTCCTGCTGTTCAATACTTTAGCTAAAAAAGAAAATCATACCTCAGCTAACCCACTATGCCACACAAAAGACAAAACTGTGCTATCTCATAACGTTACATGAGTCATTTTTCTAGTGGTCATAAATCCCTGTTCTTTCATCGTCATATTTATATTTCTGGATGTTATCATTCATACCTTTAAAAAAAATACATAACACAAGGTGTGAAGATGAAATCATGTTTTGACTACGTATGCTACTTTAATTTCTACTGTGTGTATATGTATATATATATTCGACTTTGAGTTTTCGGACTTATTCTGAGGTCTTCTAATGTTACGTTTAAGGAGGTTTTGGTAGTTGCATGAAACGGATGCTCTTCCAAGCATATCGAAATGATCAAATATTTTAAAATTTACTTTATGACAAGACGCTACGTTCATAATCCTTATCATTGACTCCCTTTTAAGGTATCGGTGGATATTATTGTTTAAAGACATAAAAAAGGAACATATCTGAGGTATTTTAAGATAAAAAATCGATACACATCTATGAATCAACCTGATTTTATGAAAAATGAATAGCCAAAGATGATTATGTTTGAGTGGAAATGCCATACTCCTTGACAGTGTTTTTAATAACAACCTAAATGATGTTCAGAATATATAAAGGATGCTAGAAGCTCAGTTTTAGCGTATATTGTTATTAGAGCCCATGATGCCAATTCTTAAAAAAAACAAACCTGTATGTGCAGAGACAGCCAAAATCCCACATCAGCCAGCACAAACATATAAGAAATATCCACATATATGATGTTTTGGAGTAAACGCCGGCCTGGTCAATCTCATATCAGCATCCGATTACTTGAGTCAACCTCCCTGATAAATCGATCAATGTTATCAGAAGAGGAATTAGTTGAACATCAGGTCAATATGTGATTCAGTGGTGCGAATGAGTCAAGAAATGAAAGGTCAGTATGTAATGATCTATTTGTGGCACAAGAAACCAAAAAAATCTCATGAATTCAGTCCAAAAAATACAAAAGAAAGATTAAATGACCATGTTTTATCAGGTGAAGCAGGCTTTATCAATACGTTCAGCCTTGTCACCAGATTTGGAAACTGTACAAACGTGTGGCTTTTGAACCAATGCAAAGTGTTGCTGTTTCTTCTTCTTTTATTATTATTTTTTAGTGTATTACTTTTTCATCAAGAACAAATCTATGCTTAATATGGCCATTTGCCTTGTAATGTTGTGCTTTACTGTTTGTTGGATACAGTAACTTCAGTACTGTGGTGTTTACATTGTAATCATATTGTAGAATAACTCATTGCAGTTGCCTAAAAAAACAACAACTACAAAATATGCCAATCAACTAACTATTAATCACAAAATTAATATGAAATAACCAGGCGTCGTGCAAAGGTGTTTCATGTCAGTTTGTGTTTTTAGCAGTGTGAACCTTCATGATCCTGTGTTACGTCGCACTGCTGTTATGTAGTTACACAACTTTACATGGTGGATATGATTCAAAAAAAGAAATGAATAGATATATAAATTTCATTAAACTATATTTTTCTACATATATAATTTCTACCTGGGTGGCGAGTTCTCACGCGGAGAGGCTCCTGAATGCTATTGTAAGGAAATTCGGTGCTAAAAACCACTGAATTTCTTTTTTCCTTAAAGATCTGAACTGTTCTAGCAGAGGTTGGGGATGTGGATTGGTTCCATAAATCCATTGTTGTTCTTTTTCCTTGCCCAGGGATGTCTCTCCTTTTGTGTGTGAGAGAGAAGAGAGAGGTTGCGAGTTGTTAAAATTCAACAAGTTTTTCATGATTGTTTTTTTGGACAAGTAAGGTTGAATAACTTTGTAATTTTGTTTCCCTGAAATGCAATACTAAGCAGCCAGACTGTGGTCAATCGCACCTTCACCAGCAGCGGCGACACCAATGTTTAGAGTCTGTGGAAGCTTGCTACCGACACGGAATAAAATTGAGGAAATGCAACTATTATTTGGTCGTTTTGCTTTACAGGTTTGACTGAACTCAAAATCGCTAGTTTTCACTGAACATTTTAAAAGTAAAGAAGTCTGAATAGTGTCTAAAAAAAGACCTAAATGATTGTGAGTTTATATGCAGTAATTTGTATAATTTTTATACGATCTTGTATGTAAATTTGCGACGATTAAATTGTAAATGTGAAATGATTAAATTCTGAATAGCAAAGAATTGAGTTTATATTTTGCTGTTCTGTTTTTTTTTTCTCATAACTACAAGATATAAACATTTCTGCGAGGAAAACGTTTAAATTTCAAGATCAAAATGACAAAAAAACAAGAAAGTTATTTAAAAAAATTCTAAAAATTCAAGTTTATGTCCAGCAATTCAGAACTAAGAATAGCAAGAGTTTATATAGAAATAGACCAATAAAGTCTGAATAGCAAGGAATAAAAAGTTTCTATTTCATGGTTCAGATTGTGTTTTTTTTTTTTTTGTCTCAGATTTCTGAGTCAAAATGACTAGAAACAATTTGTTATTCTCAAGTCAAAATTCTAGTTTTTTTTTTTTAAATTTCCAAGACCAATAGATTCTGAACAGCAAGAAAAAAAAGAGTTTATATTTTGTAGTTGAGATGGATTTTCTGCAAGATACAAGGTGACTTTTCTGAGAGAAAAATAGTCAGAATTTCAAGATGTGAACCCATTATGTGATTAAACTCAAAACAACAAGGAAAAAGTTGGAATTAAAGAACTCAAAATTGCTTGTTAAAAAAATTAATGCAGATTTGTGAGTCAGAATTGTTAAACGACAAAAAACTATTTAAAGTTTTTAAAATTCTCAACTGTCTAAATTAATAACTAAGTATAGCAAGATTTTATTTAGAAACTTGAGAATAAAATTGCAGAATTGCAAGGAAAAAAATCTTCTATTTTAAGTTTCTATTTTGTTGTTCAGATTGTGTTTCCGAGAACTGCAAGATATAAAATGACATTTCTGAGAAAAAAATAGATGTGAACCCATTTTGTGATCAAACTGAAAACAACAAGGAAAAAGTTGGAATTAATGACCTCAAAATTGCTAGTTTGTAATGCAACATAAAAACGAATGCAGAATTGTGAGTCAGAAATACTAAACAAGTAAATTCTGAATAGCAAGGAATAAATAATTTTGACTTTATATTTTGCAGTTCGAATAGTTTTTTCCCAGGTTTGCAAAAATTTATAAACATTTATGAGAGGAAAATATTGGATTTCAAGATGTGATTAAACTCAAAATGACAAGAAACTACTCATTTTCGCAATTCTCAAAATCAAAAATTCTATTTTTGTTCTATTTTTATTTAACAATTTTTAAATAATAAAAAAAATCCATTTGAAATCCAAAAATGTTTGTCCAGCATTTCATAACTATACCATAACCATAACTATTTTATACAGAAAATCAGAATTGCAAGACAATAAAGTCTGAAAAGCAAGTTCTTTTGTAGTTAGTTTGTAGACTTGCTGAGAACTGCAAAATATAAACATATACAACAGACTTTTTGAGAAAAAAAGGTCCAAATTTGAAGATGTGAACCCGTTTTGTGATTAATTTCAAAACAAAAAGGAAAAAGTTGAACTCAAAATTGCTAGTTATTCATTTTAAAAGGGTCATTTTTGAGTTAGAAATGCTAAACCAATCAGTTCTGAATAGTAAGGAATAATTCTGACTTTATATTTTGCAGTTCAAATAGTTTTTCTTAAAACTCCAAGATATAAACTGACATTTGTGAGAAAAGATTTCTGAGAGCTGTTGAGCCTATTTTGTGATTAATCTCAAGTTTGTATTCAGCCGTTACATTTTCCCCTTCAGAATTGCAATATATAAACTTGGAAATGTCTAATGTTGACATTATACCTTCTTTTTATTCTGAGAAGTAACAATCGTGAGATTAAACTGAGCATATTTAAACTTAAAATTGTAAAGGTAAAAATGCCATTCCATTAGACACCATTACATTATTATTATTATATTATTATTCTGTGGCTGCAACAAGCTTCCATAAGAGTCAGACGGGGCACAGCAAGATCAAGTAAAACCTTTTTTCTAACCTGCATGCGATACTTTGCATCAAACTAGAGATATAATCTGCCTTTCTTCTATGAATTGGTTTGTTTTATAGCAGCACACCAGCAAAATATTTCACATGCGCAGTAGAAAAAAATATGCAAGTACAGTATGTCAATGCAGACGCTCAACCAACAAACATGCACACTCAGATTTCTCCATCTAAAATTCAACATGGAACAAACAACTAAACACTGGGCTGCTGTAGTTTGGTCGTAGAGATAGTTATGACTTCCATATTAAAAGAATGGCACATTAACCGCCGGTTTAGATCTAAAACACCGGTGTCATTCTGAGATGCACATGCTGTGATTGGACAAATCGGACTTGTGCAAACAGAATCATCCATATCCACATCCAGTGTGTTGATAAAAGGTTTCATAACTGTTCCTGGCAGCCTAGTGACATTCTCCTGTAGTGTGCTAATATGGTTTCTAAGTTTCCATGCTCTTATCTGCACTTGAAAATAGAATGTAGCCCAATCCTCTGCTGATTGCCTGCTGCGTGTCGTCTCTAATGCCATGATGTGAATGCTATGCTGTTTTACTGTCTGGTATCATCTGAAAGACAGGGCTTTAGATTTAACAAACAACCCCCCTCTTATCCGCATATGTACTGTATTACTGTTTTCTTTCTTTTTTGGAACTTTTTTTGTGAAAAGTTGTCTGCATTTGAACTAATTAAATTATGGGAATTAAAATTACAAAGAATAACAAGATCTGATCTCCTGTTGTGATTTGGGGATTGATGTTTAAGTGTTGAAGTGTGTGTTTTTAATGATCAGTGTGACCCCACCGGTCCAATGCCACCCAACACGCTCCGAGCTGGGATCGAACCGGTGACCTTTCCGCATGGGAGTCGGTTGCTCTAACAAGGAGGCTAAAGACCATCGTCTCTTGCGTTTGAACAGCTTTAGAGGTCAGAGGAGTGAGG